TTCGCTTTGGGTTTGGGCTTTGGCGGAGTCATCGCCTTCTCCAGCTACAACAAGAGCGACAACAACTGCCACTTTGATGCGGTTCTGGTGTCCATCATCAACTTCATCACCTCCATCCTGGCCACACTCGTGGTGTTCGCCGTGCTGGGCTTCAAGGCCAACGTCCTCAATGAGAAATGTGTTGTAGAGTGAGTCGACCGCACATCACACGGCTTATTCTTCAGTGAGGCCACAGCCATCCGGGTCCAGGAGTCCAAGATATCTAACCTGTCCTCTCTGTCCCGTCACTCAGCAGGCGTCTGTTAGCTGATCAGCAGAATTAGCAGTTAGCGTTCTCTTCCAAGCATGTTGAGCTCCAGTGATGTTGCATTAGGGCCAGTTGGTAAAGATGTGGTGGCAGCATCCTGTGATAGAGGGAGACCTCGCTAACGGGGGAACTGGACACGAGTAAACTGGGGAGAAAAACTGGGTAAAATTAAGTGGAACATTGCTAACATGATCACTGCAGCAATGAAACAAGTGAACATTAGCCTGCCTTTCTCAGGAGTTTGGGAAGAATCTAGAAGACTAACACTCACTGTTGAGGAAATGTGTGGTCATTCGCCACATCCCATTTAAAATAGTTGTAAACACTTGTTTTGACTGAACATTACAGTAAAGACATATCAAACATTATATGAATTATATTAAAACTGCTAATATGATTGTGAGTCCAGCTTTGCTGAATGTCCCTCCACAGCAATATTACGCATTTCCTCAACAAGTCGTGTTCTTGAATTAGCCATAACAACGTTTGTCCCTTTGATCTGCAACATATCAGTTTGTGTTTATGGTCACTGTAGCCAGTCCTGTAGCTGCAGACGCTGATGTTGTGATTTCAGGAATGCGGAGAGGATTGTGGGATATTTAGACTCTGGAGTGCTGAGTCATGATCTGATTCCTCCTCACGTCAACTTCTCTCATCTGAGCGCTGAAGATTACGCCCAGATTCTCACGGTGATAAAGGCGGTGAAGGAGAGCAGCTTCAGGCAGCTGGGGCTGCAGTCGTGTGTCCTGGAGGACGAACTTAACAAGGTACAGCTCACACTGTTCCCATGTACAGTGACCACACGGTCATCTCTGTCATCTCTCCACAGCCAGCGGTCCTCATCTCACCAGTAGACATACAGAAAGCCCAGCCTGGATGCTCTGAGCACCAGCAACCTTTCTGTTCCTAAATGTCCTCAGAGTCTGTTGGGTCTCAGTGAAAAGGTGCTGGTGGTCAGAGAGTCTTCGATGGGTGAGGCTGTGGGTTTGTAGAATGCAGGTCTTTGTCACAAGGCTGGTTCAGTTTTGGCCCACAGGTGGATTCAGAGGGTTATAAACGTTATGCATGTCTTTGTCCTGTGGGGGTCTCGTTGTGCTCTGAGCATCTGCCAGAGGGTTTTCAGAGGTGATGGATTGTTTAAAGTGGCTTATGGGCTCTATAAAGTCCAGCAATCCAATATATCATCACTGTCCAAAGAAAAACAAGCATGAAGGCAAGAACATTCTTACATATTAATGTTAATGTACATTGATTTTATTCAATTTTGGAGCAATTTTGGAGCAATTTTGGAGCATTCTAATCAGGATATTTCGACAAAATGTAAAAGACTTGCTGTGCTCAAACGATGTAGAAAAGTAAAATTTGGATAAACGGAGTTGAACAGTGACGATATGCTACTATTGATAGACAAACTAACGACCACCTAAGAATGTTCTGAAGAATTCAGCTCCTTCGATCTGAGTTTTAAAGCTTAATGTTCTCTAAATCCAACAACATGGCTACTTGATTCGGTGTCCTCTATGTTACTTCTAGAATTATTCTGACTAATCGGGGAGCCTTTGCTAAATATGATGAACCCGTCACTCACTGGGCCGTGTTCCTACATTCTTAAAGACCGGTGTGTCAAACTGTTACTTAGGAAAATGCACCTTGATCACATGATCTCCTCAGCTGTCAAAACCTATTTCCAGCACTCCTGTTTTGGAGAAAGATTTTGGAGAAAGTCGTTGCCCAGCAGCTGTGTTCCTTTTTAGGTAACCATGAACTATTTTTGTCTGGCTTTCAGAGATATCAGAGTACACGACTGACCACGATATTTTAATGGACATTGTTAGTTTAGAAGGACAAGTTGTTGCCAGGTTTAGGTCTTATGTGACAGACCACTTTGTCAATGTAGTGGGGAGTATTCTGAACAGAGAAATGTGCGGTATGGTGTCCCCCAAGGCGCTGTTTTAGGGCCCTTGCTGTTCTTTGTCACTGTAATTTGTGAACACAGTGTAGTTGTACACTCAGATGTTCATATCAGAACAGCCAGATTCAGACACAGTTAAACAAAACGGAAGATTGTGTTAAAGACATAAAAGCCTGGATGGGCAGGAACGTTTATTACTTTAGAAACCTCCACAATAACACGCTAATCCTACAAGCTGCTGAGAAATGAGGTCTTATTTTCAAAACTTCTACATCACACTGTGATACGTTACTGACTGGTTGCTCTGCTGCTTCCATTCGAGCTGGATTAGTTTAATCTGGGGAGGTGCTGTAATTTGAGTGATTAGAGATAAACTCTGTGATCTTAATCCAGTATGAATCTGCACTGTCTGTAGTTTTACAGTCTGCTCAGTAATAATTCCGGAGTAAATCACCTCCTATAAATCTCCAAACTTCGAGCTCCTCAGTAACAGCCGTCCTGCTCCAATCACATCTCAGTAACGTAATAACAAAACTGGTACTAGAAAATGGACGAGGCTGAAGTCGGCTTCCTATTCGCCAGGTTGTTGTGTGGATTTTCCGTTTCACCGTTTAAGGTGGAACAAAAAATTGGATTGAGAATCCGACTTCAACTGTGTAGAAAATCTGAAGATGAGGCTTTCAGCAAAAATGAGCTTGATTTGACCCTTAATCCTCAAGTTCATCACTGAAATCCACAACACTTTTGGCGATGGCCAAATTACAAGGAGAACGAAAGTGAAATATCTCTAAGGCAGCGCGTTACATGAACCCACTTTACTAGCCTAATGCTCGCCTATTTGTCTGGTTATTGTTGGGAAGCGCAGTGTATGTTGGATAAAGCTGACGTAAACGTCTGAGCGCTGATGTTTGGATCTGGCTATTTTGGGGTGATCTGGGGAAATTACACAGATCCTTTATCCCGTACAAATCAGCCAGTCAATCACACACAGATGACATTACTGACCTCTTCTGACAGAACTAATCCAGCTCTAACAGGGCTGTAATCGACTCCACTCAGCCGAGCTGCTCACTGCTAACTCAGTGTCTCTTTCAGCTTAGCTGGTGGAAGATCATTTTCTTATAGAGCCCTTCAAGTCTGGAGCAGATTCTCACCAAATGCCACAGAACTGCGGCTCATTTTCTCCTGTTAGTCACCGTTTCATTCAGCACGTTTTCATCTGCTGGTGTTTTACTGATATTACTGTGTGAAGAACGTTGATATTTTATAATATGAAAAGTTTTATATCAATAAAGATTTACCAGAGTTGTAGGGGTGGCATGATGGCACAGTTGCATCCCAGCAAGAAGGGTCTGGGTTCAGTTCCCCGGCCGGGTGACCAGGGTTCTCTCCGTGTCTGCATGGGTTTCCTCCAGGTTCTCCAGGTTTCCTCCCACAGTCCAAACACATGCAGTCAGGCCAACTGGACACGTTAAATTTCCCCAGGTGTGAGTGTGCCTTCCACCCAATGACCGCTGGGATAGACTCCAGCTCCCCCCGTGACCCAGAAGGATAAGTGGCTTAGATAATATGTGTGTGTGTGTGTGTGTGTGTGTGTGTGTGTGTGTGTGTGTGTGTGTATTAGTAGTAGTTTTACAAATGCACATCAACCTCTCTCCCTTTCTCTCCTCTCTGTCTGTCTGTCTCTCTCTCTGTGTGTCTCTCTCTCTCTCCAGGCTGTGCAGGGTACAGGTTTGGCCTTCATTGCCTTCACTGAAGCGATGACCCATTTCCCTGCAGCTCCGTTCTGGTCAGTAATGTTCTTCTTCATGCTCATTAATTTGGGTCTGGGCAGCATGATTGGCACCATGACCGGCATCACCACCCCCATACTGGACACCTTCAAAATACGCAAGGAGGTCCTAACAGGTACACTCCCACCTCACAGGTGTGTCTGACTCTAAATAAAACATACAAACCACTGTTACGTCCATAAATCCGTTATAATGCTAATTATAGCCTTCACTGCTAACTGCTGTAGCACGACTGAAGTTATGTAGGTATTGTGATATAAACTGAGTCTGTTCTACAGTTTCTCATTAGGCTGAATGAATAACCGACTCTAAATGTAGGTATTGTGATATAAACTGAGTCTGTTCTACAGTTTCTCATTAGGCTGAATGAATAACCGACTCTAAATGTAGGTATTGTGATATAAACTGAGGCAGTTCTACAGTTTCTCATTAGGCTGAATGAATAACCGACTCTAAATGTAGGTATTGTGATATAAACCGAGGCACTTCTACAGTTTCTCATTAGGCTGAATGAAGCCCCCCCCTCTCTCTCTCAGTGGTCTGCTGTATCATAGCGTTTCTCTGCGGTCTGCTGTTTGTTCAGCGCTCTGGGAATTATTTTGTGACGATGTTTGATGATTATTCTGCTGGCCTGCCGCTGACTGTCGTGGTCTTCCTGGAGAACGTGTCTGTAGCCTGGATTTACGGAACCAAGAGGTGAGACACCACACACACATAAACACACACACACACACACACACACATACACACACACATACACACACACACACACAGCTGTCTGTGAGCGCATTGGTCTCAGATGTGTCGGTGGGCATGTCTGTGTCAGGTTCATGCAGGATCTGGAGGACATGCTGGGCTTCAGGCCGTACAGGTTCTACTTCTACATGTGGAAATACGTCTCTCCCATCTGCCTCCTCATCCTCATCTCCGCCACCGTCATAGAAATGACCGTTAGTTCACCAGGATACAATGCCTGGGTACAGGAACTGGTGAGCGCACACACACACACACACACACACACACACACACACACACGCACACTAAACACAATATTAAACCCAAAGCGATCGTTCAGCCAAACATCTGATTCCCAGTTTCCTCACACTGATCCTGAATGTAGGAGATCAGCAAAGACGTGTTTGGTTTCTGAAGTTAGCATTGCGCTAACTGCTAAATTGAATACTTGCCCATTTTGAATTTGAGGCCAGCAGCACGTTTCAAAAGAACTGGGACGGGACAACAAACCAGCATTTGGTGAAGTTACTCACAGTGAGCCTGATGACCGTGACTGAGTGTTACCTCAGCAGAGAACAATGTATTTGTGAACAGACTGAGCCAAATATTGAATGTCAGTTCAACTTATCGGAGCTGCGGGCAGGAGCGGGACTAAAAACAGTCCCACACAGACCTCGACATGAGAGCATGACAATTTGCAATTTTCCTCTGGGATCAATAAAGTATTCTGATTCTGATTCTGATGACATGACACACGAGGCGGAGTCACCAAAGAAGAAACAAGAAATTATTCTACCTGAATATGTAGAAAGAAAAACGTTTATAACCGCAAAAAAGCAACGCAGTAGTCTCTGCCACCAGGGTGGGACCGAACTGAGCTTAAATTACCTGGGTAAGCAAGAGGGACCCCCATACTGACAATGCTGAGGAGGTGGTCCGTACTTTAAACTGTACTTTATTAGAACCCCAAACAAGCAGCCAATGGTCAGCAATAATCAGCCACAATTAGCCACAATACATAATTTGCCAGTTATAAATGTATATATATATATATATATATATATATATAAATGTAATCATTCATATTTAGCCATAATGTTACAGAACATCAGCTGGCAATATGGGGGCCCCGAAAGGTTCCTGCTTAGGGCCCCTAAGAGGACACAGTCGGCCCTGAATGCTAGCATGGCTGTGTTTATGAGCATGTAGCTCAGTGGCTAGGCTCGCAGTCAGGATTGGGATTCCCACTGGATGTATTAGTGTAATGCATGCTGGGTAATGTAGTCAGAGAACTGATGGACAGTGTACAAGTGCCCCTCAGTGTTCTGCTGCTCTCTGATCTGATCTCCTGGTTCCTCTCGCAGGCTGAGGAGCGATTTCAGAGTTATCCTCCGTGGGCCACTGTGATGTGTTTTGCGCTGGTCATCGTGGCAATGCTGCCCCTGCCCGCGGTTTTCATCGCCCGTCACTTTAACCTGCTGTCCGACGGCTCCAACAAACTGTCCGTCTCCTACCGCAAGGGCTGCATGATGAAGGACATGTCCAACCTGGAGGAGCAGGACGAGACCCGCTTCATCCTCAACAAGAACCTGACCGGATCACCCTCACCCCCCCAGCGCCCCTACCGCCCCCCCCGCGGCCTGGCTGCCGACAAGCCCCCTGCTGACCCCAACCTGCTCTCACCCAGTAGCTGTTACCAGACCGGCTACCAGAACGCCACCTCACCTGAATCTGACTGACCATTAGAGACACACACCTGAATCTGACTGACCATTAGAGACACACACCTGAATCTGACTGACCGTTACAGACACACACCTGAATCTGACTGACCATTAGAGACACACACCTGAATCTGACTGACTGTTACAGACACACCTGAATCTGACTGACCGTTAGAGACACACACCTGAATCTGACTGATTGTTACACACACCTGAATCTGACTGACCGTTAGAGACACACACCTGAATCTGACTGACCGTTACAGACACACCTGAATCTGACTGACCGTTACAGAAACACACCTGAATCTGACTGACCGTTACAGAAACACACCTGAATCTGACTGACCTTTACAGAAACACACCTGAATCTGACTGACCGTTACAGAAACACACCTGAATCTGACTGATTGTTAGACACACACCTGAATCTGACTGACCGTTACAGACACACATCTGAATCTGACTGACCTTTACAGAAACACACCTGAATCTGACTGACCGTTACAGAAACACACCTGAATCTGACTGACCGTTAGAGACACACACCTGAATCTGACTGACCGTTACAGACACACACCTGAATCTGACTGACCTTTACAGAAACACACCTGAATCTGACTGACCGTTACAGAAACACACCTGAATCTGACTGATTGTTACAGACACACACCTGAATCTGACTGACCGTTACAGAAACACACCTGAATCTGACTGACCATTAGAGACACACACCTGAATCTGACTGATTGTTACAGACACACACCTGAATCTGACTGACCATTAGAGACACACACCTGAATCTGACTGACCGTTACAGAAACACAACTGAATCTGACTGACCGTTACAGACACACCTGAGTCTGACTGACCGTTACAGACACACAGCTGAATCTGACTGACCGTTACAGACACACAGCTGAATCTGTTATAGATACACTTCTTGCTGCCCTCTCATCTGACCAGCACACACAATATGAAGATGTTTTAAATGAGCTCCATCACTAAAAAGGACATTAGATTAGACAGCTATTATATTATATTAAATTATATTAGATTAGATTAGATTAGATCAGATTAGATCAGATTAGAGGTGCTTTGTTCTTATGGAGTTCTATCTTTACTCCAGTGCAGATTCATTCATCAATCAGCAATAACAACAATAACAGCACCAAAATTATGATGGACCAAATTTTCCTTCAGTATTTTAAGGTGTGAATCAGCACAAGAACAGCTGGTCACTCACGGTCAGGCTGGCAGGGCAAGTTGGGGGGGCAGGTTCGCTCAGAGGTCAGAGGTCAGGGTTATAGCCAAAACTGCCACTTTTAAGGATTTTTCAAATCGTCATGCAAGCGTGAACATTTACACCATCGTTAATAAATTATTTCTTAAAATAAAACGGCTCCGCGTTAAACAGCTAGCTAGCCAACATTAGCCAGCAATAACCTCACGCAGCAGTAACTCTGTTAGAAAAGCGCCTCACCTTAGATCTGGACATGCTGAGATGTTTCCATGGCGACAGCTCTTCATGTGGAACCTGCTCTGTAAAGAATGTTCAGTGTTGTGAATGTGGAGCTATGATTAGCGTAGCTAAACTAGCGAGATATATGCACAATTCATAACATTAAAGATAATCACCAAAATCACAACTGTTCCGCTTAATGTAGGTAATTATGATCGTTTCTACTGATAAACGTAAAGTAGTGAAGCACAAACTTAAATATTAATATTCTTATAATTATTCGCCGTTTCACACTCAGAGAGCGGCAGCTGCAGCCGTATCAGGAGATTCGGTGTAGGGTTTAAGGATTTAGGGTTTAATGGTTTAGGGTTTAATGGTTTAGTGTGTAGGGTTTAGTGTGTAGGGTTTAGTGTGTAGGGATTAAGGGTTCAGAGTGTACGGTGTAGGGTTTAAGGATTTAGGGTTTAATGGTTTAGTGTTTAGGGTGTAGGGGTTAAGGGTTAAGGGTGTAGGGATTAAGGGTTTAGGGTGTAAGGTGTAGGGTTTAAGGGTTTAGGGTGTAGGGATTAGGGTGTAGAGTTTAAGGGTTTAGGTGTAGGAGTTAAGGGTTTAGGGTGTAGGGGTTAAAGGTGTAAAGATTAGGGTGTAGGGATTAAGGGTTTAGGGTGTAAGGTGTAGGGTTTAAGGGTTTAGGGTGTAGGGATTAGGGTATAGAGTTTAAGGGTTTAGGGTGTAGGGATTAGGGTATAGAGTTTAAGGGTTTAGGGTGTAGGGGTTAAGGGTTTAGGGATTAGGGTTAAGGGTTTAGGGATTAGGGTGTAGGGGTTTTAGGGATTAGGGTTTAGGGTTTAGGGATTAGGGTGTAGGGGTTTAGGGTTTAAAGTCAGTGGGAATGTGAAACTAACCTACACTGTCCGTCTGTGGTGTTTTAGTGAATCTCGGTGTCGAAGGGTCTCGCTGAGCACTTTCTCTCCATGGGGGGAGGGAAGTGGTGGCTGAAACATTATTATATTAGTGAAGACTATTTTGCCCCACCCACTGGTGCACAGTGATGTCATAGTGAAGATGTTTTCGAGGCGGAGCTAAAATCATTACAGTTAGACGGAAGATCACAGTGAAACAGATTCAGGCTTTTAAATAAACTGAATTGTGATTAATTTCAACAGAAAGACGAGTTTAGAGGAGAAGATCAGTTCAGACTTCAGGCTTTAGAGTTTAGAAGATTAGAGTTTAGGGTTTAACGGTTCAGTGTTACAGTTCAGGGATTAGGTCTTAAGAGTTTAAGAGTTAGGGTTTAAAAATTAGGAGTTAGGGATTAAGGTTTAACGGTTAAGAGATAAGGATTAGTGTTTAAAGTTTAAAAATAAGGAGTTAGGTTTAGGGGTTAGGGAGTAGGGTTTAAAGGTTGGGGTTTAGGGTTAGGGATTAGGGATTAGGGTTTAGGTTGAAGGCGGCAGAGCAGATAATCCACTGAAATTAAAGACTTGACAACTCTGCTAGATTTTCAGGCACAAAGAGGAACCAGAAGGCCAAGTTTAACCCCTTAATCTCAGTCTTATTACCGACTAAGGCTCGTTATTCAGTGACTACAGGGAGTTCAGTGGCTGAGCTGCTCTTAGATTAGAGAAGTGTGTAATAAAACTTTGGGCTCCGACCATTTAAGGGGTTAAACATCAACACTGACAGAATCAAAGAACATTTACTGAACTGAGTGCAGCGGCGCCCTCACCTGATTTCTCTCTCACACACACACACAGCACTGTAACAGCACTAAAGATTATTTATTTATTTATTTATTTGTTTGTTTGTTTATAAAGCCATAGTGATGATGGTCAGTTACTGTGATTATCAGTCACTGTATTCAGTGTGTGTGTGTGTGTGTTGTGTTGCAGTGACAGAGTGATGTGTCTGTAATGTGCACCTCTGCTCTGAATCATGTTCAGGTTCTCTGAGTTGTTATAAACGTCTTATTGTTTCACTGAAAGTGCGATTCTATATTTTCATATTTCCTGAAAATCAAAATGAATGTCGAGTATAAGACGTGTATATTTATGTCTCTAACAGATC